GGGAAAGTCTGCTATTAGGGACCTCTCAAAAGTACTGAAGAGCAATGGTGTCTCTGTGGAGACTAAGGTGCATCTGATATAGGCCATGGTCTTTGCAATCACTAGTTATGCATCAGAGAGTTGGACAATGACTAGGGAGGAGGACTAGGAATATAAGTATAGATTTCATATAAACACAATCAAGTGTTCTGGAATTCCTAATTTTCTCAAAGTTAATTATAACTCATTGTAATCCACACAGTTAATTATGCCTTTGTATAGTCATTAATACTTAAGTTTTAAATTTGCCTGATATTCTCTGCTGTCAGTCAAATAGAAAAATGTAGGCATGTACTAAAATTGGTTGTAATCAAGTCAATTCCAATTCATAACACCTCTACGTGCATTATAGTAGAAATGTGCTCCATAGAATTTTTAGTGACTGGGGTTTTTGTTTTTTTTTGCATTATGTTTGTTTGTTTAAAAGTAAAACTAGAACTTTTTTCTAAGAAACATCTGTATGGAATTGAATCTCTAGGTTTTTAGCTAGACCCCACCATGCTACCCTTTTGTTACCACCCAGGAACTCATAGACATGAATTAGGGCAAAATAAGAATGAAGAAGGGAGAAGTCACAACCAAAGGTGGCTAATGCTATGTGGAGGACGATGAGAATGTCTAATTATAGTGATGTTAAAGAGATATCAGTAATTGCAAAATTTGCCTTCCTCTTACCCCAAAATCTTAGTAACCCTTAATGAATGTGGTTTTTAAAAACAAACAAGACAAAACAAAGAACTAACAAAATTAATTGGTCAGCTTTCACCTCAAGAGTGATGCAACATAATGCTTTCAGGATACAAAAAGATTTCCAAATAGTAGTAGCAGAAATTTAAGGAGCTCTGGTGGCCTAGTGCATTAAATGCTGTACTGCTAAATGAAAGGTTAGTGGTTTTACAAGAAAAGGGTGGGAAGTCTCCTCCTGTAAAGATTTACAGCCTCAGAAACAAGTAGGAGAGTCTGTGAGTCAGGATAGAGTCAATGGCAGAATGTGGTTCCTGGTTTTGATGATTATAATGATATCAATACACAAAGCAGCCTCATAAACCCAAAGAGCTCCTCTGCCCTTCAACAGGAATGGGATTCAGGTTAGCAGCCAGTTTATCTAGACACCAAGAAACGAAGAGATTTTAGTACAATATTTCATTTTGATAAAAATACAGTGAAAAAATATGAATGATAAGGTTTTGGTACAAACCAAATCAGTCTGTCTTGGAGAGGGTGAAACCAAGTCTCTCTTTGGAGCCTAGGATTTTGGGCACGTGGTCAGGACAGCGTTCTCGAAAGGGTGGACGGACAGTGCAGGACAGGGAGACTCAATGAGTTGGATTGATACAGTAACTGGGGCAGTGGGAGTTGGTGTGTCAGAATTAGGGAGACTGGCTCAGGACAGGGAAGGGTTCAGAGCTGCTGTACTTAGGTTCACTATACATCATAGGCAACTCAATGGCACATAACAACAATAACATTCTATGACAGGTTTGTAAGCAGGAGTGGCATTCACTTCCTAAATAACATGCCTCCAGAAACTATATGAACTTTGTTAAAATGTCAATAGTTGTAGAAGGGCTTCAGGCCTTTTGTTCATAGGTCCACTATGAGTCGTGCACTACTCAAAGGCAATCAACAACAACATTCTTTTATCTCTACCTTTCCCACTCTTTGCACAAATATATTTTATGTGTGAGAAAATAATTCATTGCAGAATATATAATACATGGCAAATCTCTGAAGAAGTTTGCCATTTATTTAGATACATGGTTAATACAAGTAAACCAAAAGTAAAAAATTAAGTTACTAAATAATCTTATGAAGCATTTGAAGTGATTGTTGTTGTTGTTAGGTACTGTCAAGTTGAGTACACTCATAGGACCCTATAAACAAAAGATCTGAACCAAGTTCTATCCTGTGCCATCCTCATACTTCCTGAAACACTAGAGCCCATTGCGGCAGTCACTGTGTCAGTCCACCTGGTTGAAGGTCTTCCTCTCCTTTGCTGACCCTCCACTGTTCGTAGCATCATGTCCCTCTCCCAGGAAAGTACAGTAAGTTTAATCAGAGGCCTATTTGGTATCCAGAAATTTAAATATGACATACTCACCTTCCTGCCATTTATTTTTCCATGCCAAATCAAATCTTAATTTTTTTCAGAGCCTTAGGTATATTAGTATTAAATATCATATGCTATCTGTAACAAGTCCAGCAAGTTCCTATTTCTCAGATGAGGAAAAACAAGGTAACAGATTGAAAGACATCTTTGTTCCAGGAAACTGAACCTTTATCTCCAACTGTGTAATGTAATCCCAAGCTCTTGTGATAGCTATTTTTAATATTTCAGAACAGAGCAAGGAAACACTGCATTGTTCAAAATTGGGAAAGGCGTACACCAGGGTTGTGTCCTATCTCCATATCTTTTCAACTTGTATGCTGAACAGATTATCCGAGAGGCTGGGCTCTATGAGGAGAAGTATGGCGTCAGGATTGGTGGAAGTTCTATCAACAATCTGCATTATGCAGATGACACAACCCTGCTTGCTGAAACTGAAGAAGACCTGAAACACTTGCTGCAGAGGGTCAAGGACTACAGCCTATGGTATGAATTGAGGCTCAATGACAAGAAGACAGATTCTCACCACTGGACCAATTGGCACCATCAAGATGGATGGTGAAGAGATTGAGATTGTTCACCTCTTTAGTTTGCTTGGTTCCATGGTCAACACTCTTGGCATCAGTAGCCAGGAAATAAAAAACATATTGAGATGGGAAAGTCTGCTGTTAGGGACCCCTCCAAAGTACTGAAGAGCAATGGTGTCACTCTCAAGACTAAGGTGCACCTGATACAGGCCATGATCTTTGCAATCACTTGTTATGCATCAGAGAGTTGGACAATGACCAAGGAGGATAGATGGAGAATTGATGCCTTTGAGCTGTGGTGCTGGAGAAGAGTATTAAATGTACCATGGACTGCCAAGAAAACAAACAGATTTATCCTGGAGAGGGTTAAACTGGACTGTTGCTTGGAGGCAAGGATTCTGGGGCTTCTTCTGATATACTCTAGACATGTTGTAAGGAGAGACAGGTCCTTGGAGAGGGATAGCATGCTTGGGAGGGTGGAGGGACAGCGCAGGAGGGGAAGACCCTCTATGAGGTGGATTGATTCAGTGACTGGGGTAATTGGGATGGGTGTGTCAGAGGCAGTGTGCTTGGCACAGCATAGAGCAGGGTTTAGGGCTGTTGTACATAGGGTCGGTATGAGTTGCAAGCGACTCAATGGCACATAACAACAACCACAATATCAAATTCAGATATTCAAATTGCACACCTAAGTTATGTCCTGGTCTGATTACTCTGCTTCCACAAGAGCTGGATTCAGTCCTCAACCAAGGAAATCGGTGGAGGCATGCAGAAACTGTGAAATTTGATGTCTATATCCACATGCCTTATGCCATCAGATCTGAATTATTATCTAATTTTTCATCTGTTTCACTGTTTACATGCATTTGAGAAGTTTTAGCTTTTAATTATCTGAACCAACATAGCACTATATTTGTAGTATGTCAACAATCTATATTTCATAGAGTTTATTTTTCCCAAAATAATAAATTGAAGAAGAAGCCAGTAGTTTTCAGTTGTAATTATTAAGTGTTCTACAAGAAAGAAGCTATTCTACAATTCTAAAGAAACGCAGTTCGAAGCCACCAGCTGGCTTCATCCCTGGGAGAAGGCTGAGCAATCTCTTCCTGTTGGATTTACTGCCTCTGAAAATGTTCTGGAGGGTCTGCTATGAGTCCATTCCTTCTGGGCAGCACACAATAAGAAGATATCACAATAAAAATTTGTTAAATATGCTCTTCCAGCTTTTAGACAATAACAGATGATCTATGAATTTGTAATATTTTCAAAAGAAGGTGTTAAACCTGTAAGGTCAGTAGTGGCAGCTACGAATAATGCTATTAATAAATAACTTAATTTTAGACACTGGTAATATGATATGACCACATTGTTGGAGAAAGGTTTGTACTTAATTAAACAGTGACATATTTAAAACAAGTTCGAGTCAATGACAGAGTAACTGAGGGTGCTGGGAGTGTAAAAATGAAATCAGCTGCTGCTTGTTAGTGCAGTTTCTCCCTGTCTGTATTTTGATTTCTTTATATGGTACTTAATACTTAATTCCACGTTTCTCTTTTAGTTATATCCAACTGACTTGGATGAGTTTATTTTCATTCATTATATATGTTCACCCTGCTTAGACTGCCTGTGTTTGTTGTCACTAGGAAAAAACAGACCTTCTCACCTTCTTGTCAGGTTAACATTTAAATAATTTTTCTCCCTCCATTTCTGTCTTGTACCTAATGAGCAAATTACCTAAAAATAGATATGTTCATCATTCTACAAACTGTTGTATCTTCTCTAGATGGGAGGCCAGTGTAATTGTAAGAGACATGCGTCTGGCAGACGGTGCGATCAGTGCCAAGACGGATTCTACAATCTTCAAGAGTTGGATCCTGAAGGTTGCCGTCCCTGTGACTGTAATACCTCTGGGACACTGGATGGAGATGTTACCTGTCACCCAAATTCAGGCCAGTGCAAGTGCAAGGCGAATGTTATCGGTATGTGTAATGCAAAAGTTTGTAGTCATATCTCTGTCACCACCTGGAATAAAATTCTCTATTTGGTTGTGTCAGTGGAGAGGAAAGTAAAAACCCACAATCCAGCCTATAAAAAACCCAAACCAACAATTTGGATGAAATGAACTGTCTAAAAATTATTAAGCTAATAATTCTGTCAAAGTACAGTTTGAAGTTGAGTTTAATCAGTCTTTTAGAAGTTTCTTTATTCTGTTGATGCATAAGTTCACATAGTTTCATACTAATAAGTCATAGGAAGAAAAAATAAAAATCTTTGCTTACTGTATAGATGTTTCTATTAGAAAATTAGCACTTTTCCAAAATGTTTTGCCCTTAATGAGTTCTAAGCAAATCTTTCTCATGCTCGTTTTAATAGACCAAAATAAATGGATTTTTTTAAAAAAAATTCTCTGCTACAGAGTCCTTTTTGATAAATCTTTCCATTTTTTTCTATTATATTTCTTTGAACTGTTCCTATGAAATGCAAAATAAGTCAACATAATTCCACAGATCATGTCTATTGCTAGGGTTAGTTATAAAAGGCCACATAATTTTAATTTTGTAATTCAGTGCCATGCTTATTATAATAAACAGCTACCTTCGGTGTTATTTATCATTTTTTATATAAGACATGCTTTTTTTGTTTGTTACTCCCACAGGTATTTTTCAGAAATTAGATTTGATTATAGCAATTTATTACATCCAACATTTTTGAGGGGAACCATAGCCACATAAGGACAAAATTTATCAAGTGCCCAAAATGCACTATGTACATAATGCACTTTGAAATGTTGATGTATGAGAATATTATGAGAGGAAAGTTTCCTGATGAAGTGAGTCCTGTATTGTAATTGAACATGTCTTTGCTCACACAGGAAGTTTAAAAAAGACCTTTACCTTTTATTGTCATTCAAGACACCAAGTCATCCATGGCTTTCCTAACACTGACTCTTAATTCACAATAAGAAAATGCATGCCTGCCACTGATATATGTGTATGTGTGTACACACATGTATAGACACATGTATACATATACATACACAAACCATTCTGAATACTATTTCCTTTCTGCAAGACAGTCTGAAGGTACTTCATTATTTTTCTTATGTACATTTATGTAAATGTACATGCAGCCTTTTATGTTATTCTTCTAAACAAGTCGTATTAGTTAAAAATTAAAATAGTGCAAATAATGGTTTGCCGAGGATATCTCTTGTTTAAAATAAGATACAACAAAATCTATAGCATCATTTCCCCTTGTGCACAAAAACTAACTTTTCTTAAAAGAAGACCAGCAGAAAGAGCCACGCATCTTTGTGTGTTATTTATAATGCTGACTGAAATCTAAGACCTTTGAATTCAATCTTATAGCATCCTTTGTTCTTAAATGTTTGATAAATTTTAAACTCAAGATCTAAGCACAAAACCAAAAGACACAGAAACAATAACTATTATATATCAATTTAATCAGGTCCCTTTGGGTAAGGTTCCAGAGATTAATGAAGTAAAAACCAACTTTATTTTTTTATCAGAAATTTCTTATGACTTCCATACTATCTACATAATATTTTTCTTTGATGTAGGTAATGTCTGTGGGAAAATATAAATGCATATTTTGCAACAACCAACTCATCACTTGGTATTTTTATTATTTTTAGTATAAGTTATGTTTGCAAATGCAGTGTTTTTAAATAAAAATTTAACTTGCGTTATACGTGTACATTTTTTCCTAACATAATTAGCAAATAACTTACTTAAATTTGCAATGTCAACAAGGGAAAATAAACCAAAATAGAAAGTACAAGTGTATTGTGTATGTTCGTGAATGCAAACTGTTAGAGTTAACAAAACTGTTAAATTTTACTAATGATTCTATTACCAGTAAAATACATTAGCACTACCAATAATTTTATTAAAGTAGGTCATTCATCTAGAATAAAAAGGGAGAAGAATGTGAATTAAATGCCAAGTGTGCTAACTCGCCTATACTTGTTAACACCGAATGTGATGCCCTGTAGGCCTTCCTCAGTATCGTTAGAAATAGATTACCTGTCAGGAATATGTATGGCATATTCAAATAAGCACTGTGCATATTTTTAAAACTGATATGATATGAATCCATGTAGACCAATTTTAATAGTTCAAAATGAGTCATAATTCTTGTTAACAATACAGTTATTTTTAAAATTTGCAGCAATAGTGGTCCTTTTTTATTTTCCTTATTGAAATTAAATGATATGCCTTAGGTGAGTCATTCATCACTGTTAAAGTAACTTGCCTTCCATTGGAGTTCTTGAATTTTTATCCATATATATACATACATATTATGCATTTCTTTCCAGTTTGAGAAATGTTTTTCTACGTATGAGTTCCTGAGTATGTGTTTTACTATTATGTTAGGCTTAATTTTTTTATTATTATTATAGCTTAAAATAAATGTTTCAATTGATTCAACCTCACACAGTTATTTAAATTCATGGATATGTGAAGCCTACCTAAAGGAAACATTTAGCATCTAAACATTTACTACTCCATTTTAACAACTTATTTGTCTTTCTATGGTTAATATTAACCACACGTGACAGAAATATGAATTTGAGTGATAAAACATTTTTCTGTATTTGTAATATATACATATATTATGCAGCAGGTATTATATTATGTATAATATACTGTTGTTGTATACCATAAGGTTGACACAAACTCATAAGTGACCCTCTGGTGGAATTTCAGAGGCAGTTAATTGCATGATAGGAGACTGCCCATCCTTCTCCTGTGGAGCAGCTGGTGGCCTTGAACTGCATGCCTTTGGTATTGCAGCACAGCTTCTTGTCACTAGACCACCAAAGCTCCCTATTACATATAGACAGACAGACAGACAGACACAAACACACACACACACACACACACACACACTTTAAATAGTAGTATAAATAGCTTAATTTTCTTAGCAATTAGAGATGTATAATCTGAATCATATGATAATCTTTGTCATTGGTATATATATATATATAATTTTAGTAATTGAAAATGGTAAAAATATAAGGAATATATAAAAGCACTACTGAAAAATTGCTCTGGATAAGTCTATTTATATTAACTGTTAAATGTCTGTAAGTGAAAGTACTACTGTCCCAAAATCTAGCTATCAACATTTTATCAAACAATTTTTAGTGAAATCTGATTTGGAAAGATGACTCATGAGGTAATTTACATTCTTCTTCTGTGTGGCTTGGTAAACACATTTTACTAATATACTTTTAAATTGTTGTTGTTGTTATTGTTAAGTGCCATCGAGTCACAAGCGACTCATGGTGACCTTATGAAGGAGAGTCCTCAATGCTTGGGTGTCTTTCATCCTCTCTCCAGGTTCACAGGGTTTCCAGAGGCAAGCTATTATGGAAGTGGATGCCACTCCTCCTTCCAAGCTTGTTTTAATAGAGGAGCTCCACCCCAATCTCTGTCCACATTGGGTAGCCAACCATTAACACATTTGACATGACACATCAGTGTCACAGTGTTCAGACTCACAGCAACCACAAGTTACTGCTGTATGGCAACTTATACACTAGGGCTATACAACTTTTGAATTACTATTGTTTTAAAAGATTGTTGTTGTTAGGTGCCGTTGAGTCGAGTATGATTCATAGCAACCCTGTGAACAAAAGATCTGAACCCTATTCTATCTTGCACCATCATTCTCACATTTCTGACACAAAAAACCTGCAGTCACTGTTGTCAATCCACTTGGTTGAGCGTCTTGATAGTTGTGCTAAAGAGGAGTTTCCCTATTTATAACAGCAAGAGTTATTGTTGCATTAGCATTTTTTCTTGTGTTAAGTAATAGATGATTATATTTTTATGAATATATTGCAAACAAAGTTTTATGTGAGTGTTGGATTAATTATTGCCTTCATATTCTGGAGGATCTTTGGACGTATGATCCAGAGTGAGCTGTACAACTAAGACATAGCCTTTGGCTGTTTGAATCCACCAGTCCCTCCACTGGGGAGAAAGAGTGCAATCTCCTTCCATTGCAATTTTTCAACCTCTGAAAAGCTACTGTTGAGTGAGCTGTGAACAGGAACGAATTCAAAAGGAACATCTTTGAGCTTGTATTCTGAGTAAAGTCGATCTTCTTTGGCCTTGCTTGTGAGAAAAAAATGCTGTGTTTCGTATTTGCACTGAATGTCACTACTAGCATGGCTTGTCTGCTTTGGCTCCTTTGCAATGTCTAATGAAATAATTAAATGGAAATGAAACTATTTCCCGAACTCACTTCTTTTTAAACACATTTTCCTTTTTAGGCCTCCAGTGTGATCACTGTGACTTTGGGTTTAAATTTCTCCAAAGTTTCAATGATGACGGATGTGAGCCTTGCCGCTGCAACCTCAATGGCTCAGTGGACCAGTTCTGCAATCCTCTTTCTGGACAGTGTAAGTGCAAAGAAGAAGCCAAAGGACTACAGTGTGACAGCTGCAGAGAAAACTTTTATGGGTTGGACGTCACCAGTTGTAAGCCCTGTGACTGTGACATGGTGGGAACCCTCCCTGGGACAGTCTGTGAGGTGACAACTGGACAGTGCTTCTGTAAACCTAACACTGGAGGAAGACAGTGCAATCAGTGTTTGGAGGGATACTTCTACCTGCAGCAGCCAAATAATTCTTTCCTCTGCCTGCCTTGTAACTGTGATAAGACTGGGACACTAAATGGCTCTCTGCTGTGTGAGAAATCAACAGGACAATGTCCTTGCAAATTAGGGGTAACAGGTCTTCACTGTAATCAGTGTAAACCTCACAGGTACAATTTGACCATTGGCAATTTTCAAGGCTGCCAGATGTGTAAGTGTGACTCCTCTGGGACACTGCCTAGGACCATTTGTGACCCAGTCAGTGGCCAGTGCCTATGTCTGCCTAATCGTCAAGGAAGAAGGTGCAATCAGTGTCAACCAGGTAAGAGAGAAATGTGTTAGATTTACAGTGCAGATGGTTCCTTTCCATTTCAGGTTTCAGGATTCTAAGTCATTCACCTGCAACATGATTATATTGGTATCATTATACAACACAGATATAACTAATTCATTAATCAAAGTTACGTGGCATGTATGTGATGTTGTTTTTCAGCAGGTAGTTTAGATGAAACCCAGTTATTCAGACTTATTTTATAATTAAAGTTTGCCAATATTAAATGAAGGAACCCTGATTGCACAGTGCTGAAGTATGTATCTAGCCAACTAAAAAGTCAGCATCTCAAATCAATCAGACACTCTATAGGAGAAAGATGGGCATTCTTTTCCCGTAAAGGTTTTTAGCCTTAGAAACTCTATGGTGGGACAACTTGAATTGATCCTGACTAATGGGAGTAGTTTTGACTTTCATTCTAAATACCATAGAGGTTCAAGCACTTGACCACTAATTGAAAGGTCAGTGGTTTAAATGTATCCATCCATTCAGATTTATTTCCTAATTTAAATTTGCATTAATTAACTTTAAGTCCCATAGTGGTACTGTGGTGAAGATCTTAGTTCTAGATGAAAGCTCAGCTGTTCAAACCCTCCAGCAACTCTACAGGAGAAAGACATGGTGGTCTTCTTCTATAAAGATTTCCAACCTCGAAGAGTCTGTGAGGCAGTTCTGCCCTGTGCTATAGGGTTGCTATGAGTTCAACGGGGTTAGATTTGTTTGCTTTATAGAATTGATACTGAAATCAATTTGATGAAAGACGAAAACAAAAACCCACAAACTCACTACCTTGGAACTGGTTTTGACTCATACTGACCTTCCATCAGATTTCTGAGTCTAAAAATTGTGACGTGAGTAGACTGCCCATGTTTCTCCCATAGAGCTGCAGGATTTGTGTGGCATTTGGGTTAGCAGCATGACCTGGTGCGGGCTACAAAACTGGAGCTCCCACTTAAAGACAACGGGAACATTAAATTGCTGAAGTTTATATAAATCTTCAACAAGGATCATGAAATCCTCTTGAGCACTAAAGAGTTACATAACAAAATAGGTTCTTTGTTTCTTTTATTGTTTCTTATATGCTCTGATTTAATAGATTATTTGCTATTCCAATCAGTCTCACTTTCTAGGATGCGTTTGATGCACTGTTCGTGAAATATTGACCCAAGATTAGAGTTAATTAGCTAAAAATGATAATGTATGCTGTTATTAAATGTCATAAAGTTGTCTTAGGAATCATGGTGACCCCATGCACATACAAATGCTCCCCAATCCTCCACCATCATGATTTCTTACGCATTTGACAATTGTCATGCATACATACCATTTTCATCAGCTCTTTTTTTTTTTTTTTTGCAAATAGATGACTAAGTCTTCCTAGTCCTGTTTGGAAAGTATGGAGGTATAGAAGCTTCATGAATATTGTTCAGCATCATCAAAGCAACAGTTTGGGATTACTATATTTTTGTTGGACAATACATTATATTCATATAGATGAACATTCTTGTTATTGAGAAATCTTTCCCTATGGGAAAATTTGGCTTCATAATCTAATCAAAGAATATTTTTATTTGAGCTATGAATAATACATTGTTGTTGTTGTTGTTATGTGCTGTCAAGTTGCCTGAGACTCAAAGCGACAACAGCTGTAAACTCTGTCCTATCCTGTGCCAATCTCACCATCTGCGACACACTGACCCCTATTATGCCAGTCACTGAATCAATCCATCTCATCGAGGGTCTTCCTCTCCTGCTCTTTCCCTTCACTCTGCCAAGTTTGACGTCTTTCTCCAAGGACTGGTCCCTCCTTGCAGCATGTCCAAAGTATGTCAGACAAAGCTTCAGAATCCTTGCCTCCAAAGAGCAGCCCAGCTTCACCCTTTCCAGGACAAATCTGTTTGTTTTCCTAGCAGTCCATGCAATATTCAGTACTCTTTTCCAACACCACAGCTTAAAGGCATCAATTCTCCTTGTATCATCCCTAGTCATTGTCCAGTTCTCTGATGCATAGTAAGTGATTGCAAAGACCATGGCATGTATCAGGAGCACCTTAGTCTCCCGACTGACATCTTTGCACTTCAGCACTTTAGAGAGGTCTCTAACCACAGAGTTTCCTATCACAATATGTCTTTTAATTTCCTGGCTGCTGGTGCCAAGAGTGTTGATTGTGGAGACAAGCCGACTAAAGTTGTTAAGAATCTCAATCACCATCTCAATTAAGAATCTCCATTGTTAAGAATGTCAATTCACCATCCATCTTGATGTTACCAATTTGCCCAGTGGTGAGAACCTTTGAAGATTGCAGTCCCTGATCTTCCACAACAAATGCTTTAGGTCCTCCTCAGTTTCAGCAAGCAGAGTTGTGTAATCTGCATAACACAGATTGTTGATGATTCTTCCTCCAATCCTGACGCCACATTTATCCTCACAGAATCCAATCTTCAGATAGTCTGTTCTGCATACAGGTTGAAAAGGTATGGAGACAGGACACATCCCAGTCGTACCCCTTTCTCAATTTTGAACCATGCACTGTTTCTTTGCTCTGTTCTGACGACTGCCTCCTGGTCCAAGTGTAGGTTTCGCACCAACATGATCAAGTGTTCTGGGATTCCCATTCTTCTCAGAGTTAGCCAGAATTTGCTATGATCCACACAGTCAAATGCCTTTGTGTAATTAATGAAACAAAGATAGACATTCTTCTTGTACTTCTTGCTTTCAGCCAAGATCTATCTAACATTAGCTACAATATCCCTAGTACTATGGTCCCGTCTAAACCCAGCCTGCACTTCTGGTAGCTCTCTGTTGATGGGCTGTTCCAGTCATTTTTGGATAATCTTCAGCAAAATCTTGCTTGCATTAGATAATTGAATTTAAATTCTGATGAGAGACTAGCAAGAAATTAGTTTGCAAAAAAATAGATAAATATAATTATAAACATAATAATAAATTTATAATAAATAATAGAATATATATATATATAAACTTGTTGTTTTTAGTCTGTCTAGTCAATGATGGCTCCTAGTAACCCAATGAAAAATAGATCAGAACCTTGTTCTATCCTGCACCATTCTTTTGATTTCTTCCATGCTCAACCCAGTATTATAATATGGTGTCAATTCATCTTGTTGAAGGAATTCCTCTCTTTCATTGACCCTCTCTCTACCTTTCCCAAGAAGCTCTGCTTCCCCAGTGAGTACGGAGTTGTGCTGCCACCTCAAACACAAATGGTTCAAATCCAGCAGAAACATGTCAGAAGGAATATAGACAATCTCCTCCAATGTGATTTACTACCTCTAAAAATTAGCTGGATGATCAGCTATGGGTTGGTTCTAACGTGACAGCAATAAGAGAGACTATCTCTCTCAGTATGATGTATTTTTCTATGGACTGGTCCTACTCAATAGCATTTCCAAAGTATATAAGATGAGGTTTCATTCTCTATGACTCTAAGAGCACCCTGATTGCACATCCTTCAAAACAAATTTGTTTATTGACACAGTCCGTGACCTTTTTTCAACTTAATGCCCTTAATCAACACAATTCAAAGGCATCTATTATTTTGTCTGTCTTACTCATTGTCCAACTTTCAAGTGTATACGTGGCAATTAAAGGTATGATGGCTTGGGTTATACAAAGGAATTTGATTGTATGGCTCAAAACGTATTTTGGATACCACTGAGAAGAATGGGAATCACAGACTATACAATTGTACTTATGCAAACCTTAAACACGGACCTTGCAAAACCTGTACATAGATCAAGAAATAGTTGTCAGAACAGAAAATGTGCATAAATGTTCTATCCTTTTTCAATACCAATTCAGTCTGTGTACTGAGAAAAAAACATTCAAGAAGCTAAACTTTGAAGAAGAAAGTGAATCATATGAAGAATAATGTGGCACCCAGATGAGAAGAAGACTTCTCAACAAACTGCAGATTACAGAACTTTGCTTTCAAAAAGTTAAAAGGACTTCAAATACCACAGAAAATCAAAGAGTAGCCTTAAGTATGAGTTGCTTCTCAAAATTAAGGAAGCAAAAATCTTCACCAATGAACCAAAAGGCTATATCACCATGTTGTTGTTGTTAAGTGTCATCGAGTCGTAGATGATTCATAGAGACCCTTTCTTCTGACTCACTTTCTTTTCTTTTTTTGTGTGTGTTTATTTTATTTTCTTCTCTGACTCACTTTCTTATGACTCACTTTCTTCTTCAAAGTTCAGCTTCTTGAATGTTTTTTTCCTCAGTATACAGATTGAATAGGTATTGAAAAAGGATAGAACCTTGATGCACATTTTCTGTTCTGAACAATTGTATAAATTTCATAGCTTCTCCAAGTTCATAGGGTTCCTGTAGGCAAGCTATTTTGGAAGTGGATGCCATTAAGGGGGAGAAAAGTTTGAAGAAGCCAATAATTTCTTTTCACTTGGATTCATAATCAATAACCATAGTAACAGCAATCAAGATATCAGATTGGGGAAATCTGTTATCAAGCACCTCTCCAAAGTGCTGAAGAATAATAATATCAGTTTATTGGTTAAGGTACATATAATCTAAGCCATTTGTTATCTATGCGTCTGAGAGTTTTGCAATGAATAAGGAAGACCAAAGAAGAAAGGCTTCAAACTATTTTTAGGTGCTGTCAAGTTGAGTATAACTCAGAACAATCCTGTGAACAACAGATCTGAACCCTATCCCATTATATGCCATCGTCATAATCTCTGACAACCTTGAACCTATTGTTGCAGTTATTGTTTTAATCTACCTGGTTAAGAGTCTTCCTCTCTTTCACAGACCCTCCATCTTTCCAAGTATGATGTCCCTCTCTAAGAAATAGCTTCTCCTAGAACATGTCCAAAGTGTGTGAGACAAAGCTTTACCATTCTTGCTTCCAAGGAGCACTCTGGCTGCACCCTCTTGAAGACATATTTGTTTCTTCTTTTGACAGCATGTGGGATATTCAATATTCTTCTTCAACACTACATTTCAATGGC